GGACGGAGTTCCCATGGGGGGAAGCAGCCCATTCAGTCTTCCATGCATTTGCTGCTTCTATGCCGAGGATTCTTCGAGTGCTAGCCATGAGAGTGAGCTCTTCCGCGCAGTTAGGTGTAGTTGTAATCCGAATTTTGTAATGGTGGGGATGGGGAACTGATAATACGCCCGCTTTATGGCCATCTGTATAACACCAGAAAAAGGACGTGTACATCCGATATCAGCGATCACTAAATCTACCAATTGTGTTAGAATATTATCCGGCTATAACCATGTCGGCCACTAAAAGTTGCTCTGGCGGGTGTCAGTTTACATTCCTCTTATGATTTTTTTTTTTTCCAATTGCTGATGATTACATACTTAGGCCACTGGGAACCTTGGCCCTGCCATCCTCAAGGAACTTGTCATCGCTGGATTCGAAGTTACTGTCCTGGCCCGATCCCCCGAGAAGACATTCGACTCGAAGGTCAAAGTCACCCAGGTGGACTACAATTCCCAGAAGTCTCTGGAGGGTGCTTTAACTGGCAAAGATGCACTGGTTATTACAGTCGGTGCCGTTGGACTTGAGCCCCACGTCAACTTGATTAAAGCTGCCGTCGCCGCCAACGTGAAGCGCATTATCCCGTCGGAATTCGGCTCGGATATCACCAACCCAAACGAGGCTGCTCTGCCAGTATATGGCGACAAGGTTGCTGTTCAGAAGCAGCTGAGCCTGTTGTCTACGATGGTGGTGATAGAAAGATCAGCATGACTACCTTGTCTGGTGCTGGAAAGGCGGTCTCTGGCGTTTTGAAAAACCTGAATGCTACAGCTCGGGTTGTGGGATATTGAACAAGGGTTCTGGTGTTATAGCTTTGGTTCCCTCCCCTTGTCGTTCGAATGGCAGAGTTCCCAGCTCCAGTCCCTTTGGCGAAAGGCCGAAGCGAACTTTGTTGGTATCAGCCGGGCGGGCGGCAGCGTTGCGGAGTTGGGCCGTATCCAGTCCACTCTGTCGCAGGATCTCAAGGGAGCGGGTGTCTCTTCAGTATGGCTAACCCTTTTTGTTTACCCCGGATGGATGGGTTCCATAATAGGGACGTGGCGTTAAAGCGGAGATATATTACTATACCTAAGGAATTAGCAATCACTTGTTCTTCTTTGGAGATCAATTGATACTATAGTTGAGAACTCCATTGGGATTTTGTTTGAGGAACCCACGTTTTACTTCAACCAATCTGTGTGATTTCTAACCATGACGTCCAGTCATGAGGATCGTATCAGGGATATGGAGGAAGAAAGAATCCATGCTCCTCCAGGAACAGAGATTATATTCGATTCCCGCGGACCCTCGTCCAATTTATATGCGCACTTGCAACATATCGAACACGATAGTCGGCGTATTTTGTTGGTCCCTCAACCTTCTAAAACTCACCCGAGCGGTCCCTTGTCCTGGTCAGCCCTGAAAAAGGCTGTCGTATTCGCCAATGCATGTGCTTATAGCTTCCCGGGAGGATGTACAGGCCCAATCATTACAGCAGGTATACTATGCAGGTCCGAGGTAGACGTCGTGTGTTACTCTACTGATGGGCACGACCAGGTGTCATACAGCTTACGGAAAAATACAATACGTCCTTTCAAGTAGACCAACTTGCTGTGAATTGAAGGCGAATTTCTCGGGGTATATCAGTGGAATCTCGATCGAGACCATCACACTACCCCAAAGGAAGATCATAGCGTAAGCGACTGCTGGGATGAACACGCATGGCTTCATTATGTAGCTTAGTGGTTGGATGAAGTCCCAGAATGTTAACGGAACTGGGTCAATGCATCCGAACTTGAAGAGACTCTGCTTTACGCTGGTGACCTTGTGGGTGACATTTTGCCCGCGGGAATAGAGCGACTCTAAGCCGAGGAAGAGGTAGAATATAAGCTGCATTGCGTTGATCTATTGTAATCATTGCCGGCCGGCCTTTCTCAGAGTTCATCTTCAATATGGGTGTGCTCTTCATCAAGGATTTCGCGGGTCGGATATCCATGATCGAGGGTATTGTGCCGAATATCAACGGCAGCGGGGAGGGTGAAGGAGCCATCGTATACAAGGAGCCGTACGGAGTGATTCTGTCAATTGTGCCATGGTAACCTTCGTGATCCAATCTGTGGCATATACTGCGATCTATCAGCTGGCTTGGGACTTTTTTGAATTGATTCGCAGGAATGCTCCTTTCATTCTGGGTACGCGCGCTGTTGCGCTCCCTCTTGCGGCTGGAAACACTGTCGTTCTCAAGGGCTCCGAGCTCTCACCCAAGTGTTTCTGGGCTCTGGGCGACATTTTCCGCCAGGCTGGTCTTCCCGCCGGATGTCTGAACGTCATCTTCCACCAGCCCTCTGACGCCCTGGCCGTCACCAACGCGCTGATCGCCCATCAGGCTGTGCGCAAGGTCAACTTCACCGGTAGCACAATGGTTGGTTCAATTATTGCTTCTACCGCAGGTAGACACATTAAGCCTGTGCTGCTCGAGCTGGGCGGCAAGGCGTCGGCGATCGTTTTGGACGATGCGAACTTGGAAAAGGCTGCCATGAACTGTGCCATTGGATCCTTCATGCACGTAAGTAGTGTTGGTTCCATCGAGACAAAGATATCACATACTGACAATCGATACACAGTCCGGTCAAATCTGCATGTCGACTGAGCGCATTGTCGTGCAGCGCTCGATCGCAGACGAGTTCCGGCAGAAGCTTGCCGAGACAACTGAGAAGTTGTTCGGCAAGGACGCGCCCGCGCTAGTGGACGACACCGAATACGGCCTGACTGCAGCTCTGTACACCAACAACCTGTTCCGCGGGTTGCGGGTGGTCAAACAGATTGACTCTGGGTGAGTTTTTTTGAGTTCCGAATACAGATCACATCATGTGATGGAGACCAGATTGAGGCTAGCTTTGACTGTTTTTTTTTTGTCTTTCTAGAGCCGTTCACATCAATTCTATGACTGTACACGACGAGGCTGTCCTTCCTCACGGAGGATGGAAGAGCAGCGGCTTTGGTCGCTTCGGAGGAATTTCTGGATACGACGAATTCCTCCAGACTAAGACTGTCACCTGGCAGGAGTAGAGGTCGCTCGACGGTGGTTGCAGGTGACATGAGGTCAAATTTTTCCTCGTGCGGGACAAACTTGCTTATACAACGGCCTAGCCATGTGATCAACAACTACTAATCTTTACAAAACTTTCCTCCCGCATGACCTCTGTCAGACGGATTACCAACTACTTGTAAAGACAGAGATATGTCGACAGTGAAGAGTACAAGTTGCGAATGGCCTTTCTCATTTAGCTGGAGGATGACACTTGGGAATGCTGTGGACGCTGTCAGAGACTACACCCGCGCAAGGAATTTCCACCGCGCAACCTGAAGAAGGATGGGCCACAGAAAAGGACATGTGAGGTGTGTGTGTTGGTATAGTTGATCTTTGTCCCTGCATCTCCTTGACACTTCGCGATCGCGCACGTCTTATGCAATACCTGGAAGCGCCAAAAAGCAAGAAGCCTATATTGAACTTGGTCGCCAAGGGCGTATTATCAAACGCGGATAAGAAGTACCTCTTACATGAATGTACGCCTCACCTGGGCATTGAAATGGAGTTACAACTATTTGCGACAGATAGTGGACAACTGAATACCTCTACTCGATACGAGAAGCTGAATCCTGGCTCCCGATAGACAGACCTTGACACGATGCCTTCATGCATTACTCAGGACTGCTGTTGGGACGCTAACACCAAGTCTGCAACTCAATCTTGGGACTGTCGCAGATGCAGTTCCCGCGTGACTAGTTGGTCAAAGTTCCCTAAGACGGTGAGGGTGGTGCACGTTGCTCGATCCTTAGGGTTGGCCGATCTAAGTCCAGCGATGCTCAAATGCTGTGGTATAAACAGCGCCGACGTTTGAGCAACTACATTTTCGCTTGAGTGTTCTTACTATTGCTGCTTGGAATTGAATCAATATTGTTCCTATCTTAATTAGATTTTTCCTGGGATGTCCTAATCTGAAGTGTAGCAGCTTATTTCCCTCCTTGGCTAGACGGTATTCTGAGTCGTCCTGTTAGCCAGTCAGTTATTCGTCTTTGCTGCTTCTTTCGGCTTCCATAGAGACGATTGATCCATAATAGTTTGAACATGGCGCTCGAAAACAAGAACACGGGCTGGATCTCCTGTTTACCCATGCTACGCTACAGTTGTATGAGGAACAAGAACGACCGCTCGATTGATACTTCTATACTAATGCCTTTGTACTAGGCGTATCTAACAGTTCCGAGTCCATGCCGAGGAGGAGTATAAGGTGGTGGCAGATCGGGAACAGATGTAACCGACACAGCTGGCGACAGCTTTTTCGCGTGTCTCTTGCGACGAGTCCAGCAACGACAGATGATAACGGCAAGAACAGCAAGAACAAGAGCACCTCCAACTCCGGCAGCAAGCCCAATGACTAGCGATCGATGTTCATCGACCCATGAGCCTTCGTCTGTTCGACACTGTCCGCTCTCACAGAGTCCCCCATCACACGGGGTCCCGTCCAAGACCGACTGGCCAATGTCCATGCAGTTTGATGACCCATATGAGGTACCATCTGAGCAGCTCAGGCTACAGGAATTTCCGCCACAGGAGGTAACGTCGGTGCTGGTTCTGTTCATCTGGTCGCGACACTGCATGTCCCGATTGGTACATTGGCCGCTCGCGCAGAAGAGACCTGACTCGGTCCCGCAAGCATCTCCATCCGGTACATGTCTATCAGTGGGGCACGCACCCGAGTCTCCGGTACATGTCTCAGAGAAGTCGCAATCACCGGTACTTGCACGGCAGACCGTGTCCGCAGAGAGAAACCGACAGTTTGTGCAACACGATCCTGCAGCGTCGTCGCATACGGCGCCTTCCCGGAAGCGACAGGTTGATCCGTCACAGCACTCACTGCAGTCGTCTTCGCCGCAATCACAGTCTTCACCTTCCTCCACTATGCCATTTCCACATTGGCCGACGGTAAGAGTGGGTACGTTATCGTTGTCAACAAGGCAGCTCATATCGATGCTGCTGGACCCCATCATGGAGCAGATGTTGCCAATAGTGCAAGGCGAAAATTCTGATTGCGAGGAGGTAGAGACGGGGTTCATCAAATATTGCGCATCTGCGTTGCAGGAGGAAGTGGAGAGCGGACAACACTGCTCGCTGGAAGAGCACGTGTCTGCAGTGCAGTCATGAACGGCACCGAAAATATGGGCTGACTCGTGGCTATTCGCACAGTCAGAAGCCGGCAATGCTGGATCAGGAAAGAAGACTCACGCAAAAACCTGCCATGTATTTCCCGCCTGCGCGACAACATTCGCGCCCAGTTGCGAATTGCATAGTTCTCCTGTCCACGAGACGCCTATTTGCTCTCCATTCGGACAGCCAGTCATCAGCGTCCAGTATGCATTTGTTCGGTCATCCAGCGTTCTCCTCCATGAGGTGAACTGGTCCAGACGCCAGTCCAAGTCACCGGCCGAGCAGTCGACATTCCAAGGGACAGAATCAGAGGTATTGCTGGGACATGTCGATTCGGTGATTGTCAGGTTGCGGATGGCCAATGAGATGTTAAATGTACTTTCGAACACTTCAGATGCAGTATTGACCATGTCGATTAGGCTTTGTTGAACCTCTTCCGCCGAGTCGAATGCTGCGGTGTATGTGCAATCCGTCGCGATTCCAACGACTGCCACTCTTCTTGTGGTTGGACAGCCGGATGTGCTGCCAATGCTGTCGGTCAAGTCAAAACTATCAGAGACGTCCTGGCGCTTTGCGACAGAGATAGCAGTATCAAGTTCCGGAAACGGCGTGTCGTGTTCACCCTTTGTTTGCTGAGCACCCGGGTAATCATGGTATATCACCATCCGGCTCTTGGAAGCCAGAGAATCAGCCTGATCTGATACGATACCGATATGATATTTCTGAGAAAAGACGCTGAACGCTCCTTGGAAAAGTGGATCGTTTCCATCTCGAACAACGAACGCTCTGGCCCAGCCCGCCGTCCCCCAACGACCACCGGTTGATCGAACTAAAGTCTTGCCCCTGTAGACCTTATGTTGTGCTCGCTCAGACGTTTCCATTCGTCGAACTTCTCCGTTTACGCCAACATGCTGCGTGTACAAATTCTGGGAGAGGAGATCATGGTTGGGTTCGAGGCTGAGCCTAAACTCGCTGGTTTGTCCGGACAGGCTGAATGTAAGATCGAATGCTGTTGACGCTGTGACTCGTTGCGACGGTGTGTGGATGGTGACATTCTCGATGTTGGCTACTTTAGCCGGCGCACGGGGACGTATTGAGCGTGCTATTCATGTCAGCAATAGAATCCGTCGGCAGTTAGATGGCATACCTGACACGTGCCCGATGAAGAAGACAAGGCACGTGATTGAAAAAAGGATGGGTTGTAGTCTCATTGCTGGTTATCAAATTCATAGCCGCAGATCATAGAGTCAAATCCATTTCTTATATACGAAGTGCTTTCTGATCTTGTCAATATATATAAATGGTCAATCCGGTGCTCAAGGGTCTAAGCTGCCATAAAGCTATACACTTGTGATAACACCCCACGTAATCCAGGCAGCAAAATATATAGCTCATCCGTAGGAAAACGATTGCTTATGAAGGCCAAGAGAATCCTGTCATCATTGATGATGCCCTTCCCCGTATTCGAACAGGTTTGGTGGCTGTGTCTGCATCCCGAACTATCCGGGTATGAGGTGGTCATGGCTAATACGAGTAGCCCTAAGCGTGCCCGGCTCACATAAGCCGTTGATAATTGGGGCTTTTCGTGTCATATTATAGAGTATATTATGACTTGTTTTTATTGTTCGGAGTTAGTCCTATCGCCTATTACCTATCAGGGTTTAGCTTCCGGCGCTAATGCAAGTTGATTACGCTTATTTCTTGGCGATAACCTTAGATTGCCGAATCCGGAGAATCCATGACTTTCCATATGCTGATTTCCATGGTTTAGATGTTGTGTTGCAACATAATGGTTTTACATGAAGTATGCACTTCAACTATCAGCTATCCCGGAATGTATATGAGGGTGGAAATAAGGTCATGGATTGGTTTACAGGACGACATTCCAGGTGCAACATATATATAAATGTTCAGCATGTAATGAAGTTGCGTGGACAACTAGAGAATACTATCTCTACCTACAGAAGCATCCTCCCGGCACTGCGTGGTATTCTCAAAAAGCAAGATAAGCACTTTGATTTCCCCGGTTTGGTTGAATCGCTGGTAACATCCGGACACCTCATCGATACTGATCGTGACCAACTCGATAAAGTTTAGATTGGGTTTGCCATTCGCAATCAACTCAACAGGTTGCGGCGCAATCGATCTCGGGCTTACTGGACAGGCTTGGAACATAGAAGATTTAGTAGACAACAGGGTAATTTTTATCGCAGCAAGCGAAAATACTAATATGGGAATGGATCAAATTACTGTGTGGACGAGGAATCCCATAGCCTCATATATGTCTCACATCACTCCGACATTCTGGCATCGGTTTGCTACCCGAACCTTCCCAGAAACCAAAAGTTGGTGCCTTTTGATACAAAACCAACTCGATCATGCCAAGAATGCCGAGAAGAGCTAATGCAGAGCGCTTACTTTGTCTTATCTCCGGAACTTGTACCGGCGATGACAGCCTCCACTATATATAGACTACTTCGTACGGTTTCTTGTGCGCGTGTAAGTCGGAGACTTGTTCTTTTAAATATTGCCTCGAGGGTCTTTCAATCACCTTTTAGAAAGTCTGGGAATACGTCCAGCCGAAACACATCCCGCTCATTTTGTCACAACACACGCGTCTACAAAGCGAGGAAACAATGATGATGGACTATGGTTCCATACAATTCGTTCTGCTTATGGCACTTATGTTGTGGATATTTTTCTTTTGCGCCGATGCGGTGGTCTTTTTCATTGGGAGCCTAAGACGCGCTTTGACTGACGGGACGAATCCTTCGACTGCGGATTGGGAAGTCGAAAAGGGAGACGACACAAGGGAACTCGACGAGGAAGATATCGACGACACCAATAATTATCTCATGGGATAAGAAAGGCATGTTACCTACATTCAGACAACACTAGTGGTCCTGAGCTAACCTCTATTTTATTAGCAGACTTCACACTAGCCGATCTTAAATTTCTCTGCACATTCTATGTCTTCGTGAACGTTTCGGAAATTCCCACTTGACCGGCCCCCGCAAATTACAGCATATTCCGAAAAACCGCCCTTCACGACGCAGCTCCACGCTCGAATACACCCCGAGGACGCCTCAGCGCGTCTGCAAAAATGGAATCACGTCTAGGCTGGCGAATGCGGTTTTCAGGGTCGACATCGGAGAATTCCCGGGCGTGTGGATCTTGTAATGGGGGACTAAATTCAAGGCTTATGGGGTTGACTGGCATTTGCTGAGAATAGTAATTTTCCATTCCTGATCGTATATGATGTAGTAACGTGGGGTAGTAAATACCACTAATGCAGGCTGCTTACGCCCATCCATGGCTCGGTTCTTGGTAGCATCGGCGAATTTGGCTTTCGTGATTGGCCATTGACGATATGAAAAAACAGGACACCTCGACACATTGATTCTCACGGACTAACAAACACGACACAATGACATCCATGAAAAACAAAGTCTTTGTAATTTTTGGCGGCGCCTCCGGTATGGGCTTGGTAAGTTCCTCCTGGGAAGAGGTGCCCGGGTAGCTATCTGTGAATCTCTCTGCCGACAAGCTGAATCACCTCCACACGAGCTTCCCTGCGGACCAGAGTTCACATTGCTTCGTCCAAACCGGAAGCGTAACCGATGAGTCCGCCGTTGAAGCATTTCTCACGAAGACCAAATCCCATTTCGGGAAACTGAACGGTGTCGCCAACTATGCTGGGGTTCCGGCTATGAATTAGGCACAGAAGCCATCTAGCAAACGAGTCAGGAAGAATATCATTTCACCATGGACGTCAATGTATGGGGAATGTTCAATGTGTTTACTGTTTCTTTATGTCCGGGATTCCTGGTGGATGGTTCGAGCTTGGTCCATATCGGCAGTATATTTTCGCTTCAGGGCTTCAAGAATGGAGCTGTCTATGCAGCGTCGAAGCATGCTGCTCTTGGAATGGTGAGAAGCACAGCCAAAGAAACGGGCTCTCGGGCGAGAGTGAGCTGTATTTTGCCGTGAGTCCTCTGCCTTGTTTTAATCACGTTGCTATTGTTAACAAACAGTGGTGCGATTGACACCCCGATGCACCAAGCGAACCTGGCCCGTATCAAGGACTTTGAGCCTGCCCCAACAACAGCAATTCACCGTGACGGAAGGGCCGAGGAAGTGGCAAGCGTGGCGGTGTTCTTGCTCAGTGACAAAAGTAGCTATCTGGCTGGCGCTGCTTGGAGTGTGGATGGATGCGGGAGCCAATGCCTAGCAGCCGATGGGTCCAAAGAAATTAGGCCAGCCTTGACTGGGAGATAAAGATTATGTGTTGTAGATTACTACGGGAGTTGCCCTACGTTTATGTCATGGTATATCTCTACTATGAAGACATTTGTATCAATCAATAAATTTACCCAGTTCCTCTATAAAATAATAAACACAAAACAGAAAACATAAAGCCAAAAAGCACAATCTATAACAAATATAGTACGGAAGCAATAGGGGGACCCTGTTCCTACACAGAATACTGAAAACCGAATAGAAAAGACAAACCCAAAAGCACGAAACATAATGCAGAAGCAATTGGGGACGTACCAGTCTCATATCACTAACTCAGGCGCTGGATGATGTAGTCCCAAGCCATCTTGCTAGCCCGCTCCTTGGGCAGTTCTATTGAAATGACCGTGTCTAGTTCGTACGTCAATCTCGTGAGGTCCAGATCACTGGTCAGATTGTCTGGGTTGGTGTAGTCGCACTCATTGTCACACAGGACAACGGAGATGGTCTTCTGCATCGACTTGCGACCAGGCACCTGCCACTTGAGATGCGGAATCGGCGCCTTGAAAATAGCGTCCGTGATTCTGCCTCCCGGACGGAGAGACGCCAGGTCAAAGACGAAACGTTCACCCACCAGCGGGATATTGTGCTTCTGGTGGTAGTCGTAGATCTCTTTGGTCAGAGCGTCATGTCGGATGGTACGGAGCTTCTTCGCGCTTAATCCCCAGGTCTGGTCTTTGACGGACAGCACAGGACGCTTCTCCTCGGTGATGTTCATAAGAATCACACGCTTGGTTTCGCCGCAGGTGCCTTCGAACCATCGTTTGCCATCTTCACGCAAAGTTTCGTTAATGCCCACTTCGACAACGACGGAGGGGTATCGGTGACCAACCTTCCAGAGACCAACATCAGCCTGCTTTTCGCTATCTTCGTACTTACCCAGGAGATGGAGATCTATAAACGCATGTTAGCACATATTCTCATTTTCGTTTGGGGAGGGGAGGGGGGTTTACTTACCGATCAAGGTCTTGCAATTGTAATGACCACGAGAGCCATCCGCATTGATTTCCTCGCTCCACTTGTCGAACCATACCTCGAAAACATTGATCGCAGTGTCATACAAGACGCTGGTCGTGGCTTTGATAACAACATGCGCAGTGGGCGCATCGTATTCCACATCGACAACATCTGGGTGGTCCTTGCGCCACTTGAAGTATTCATGGTCACGGACGCGGAACTGCGTGATGGGAACACGACCCTCGAGTTCGTACTTGAGATAATCCACAGCGTCCGCATTCAGGTCATTGATGGAGCAGACTTTGGCCCACTCCAGGAGTTTGGCGAGATGCTGCTGGGTAGCAGAATCCATGACGGATGGTGAAGTGACGCGAAATGAGCGTACGGGAACGGAGAGGTATTGAAGGAGATGAGGACACTGGAGGAGTCTGTGATTTGGTCTTCTCTAGGTGAGAGGGACGAGCATATATATAGACTTTCTGCGCCACTAGCAATCTGTTAATCTCTTGTCATCCTAGTTAGCCCGAAGGGATACCCCATAGGTCTTTTGTTGGGTTGTTCCAAATTGCCTGCCGTCCCATAGAGTAGTTGAAACCAAGTCCCTTTTGGTAAAGAAATGACAAGGGAATGAAACGGATTATGCCGCGAAACAAAACCGAAAGATACGAAAGGGTCAGACAATGTCGTCTCACAAGTCCATTGTTGGTGTCTTTGTCCAATGGACTTCAGAATCGGACAAAGGCTTCAAATCGGCACTCGACCACAGGATGGATTTTGAACGAGGGGAATGTCCTCAGGAAGACATGAGACATTGAGCTTCCCATCTGGTTTGAACATCCTGTCAAAGGCATATTCCATTGTGTCTTCAATTGCAACGGGAAGTTCCGCGAATTTCAAGAAACAGCGATATGGATATGAAAAAGCGACGGGAAGCAAAAACAACAAGGCGGAAGAAATAACGAGACAATGATCATATTCAACTGTCTATAGATGGTCTAGAATATTATTAACATATTATCCGTTCTCATCGCATCATGGAAGTCATAGCCATGTATCGTTATGGTCCGTCAACGTCGACAATGATGACACTTCGGTGGATCATCGACTTATGCGTACCAATAAGGTCGAAATCGATCGACTATAGGAGAGTCTTCTAATGCTCTATTCCAATGTCAGTTACCAGTTCCAGTCTCGAATTGAAGGTGACGTATTTGCGCGATTGTGGCAGTGTGATAGAGCGTCACATCGAGAAAGATGTATCATTTGGGCCCTACCGATCGCTTGCGACCAACTGTCGCGACGGGATTTCGGGCAGCCATGGGCAAGCGTAATCGCGTTCCCTTTCGAAGCGAAAGCAGACAAGCGATGACCGAGGATCAATCCGGATATAGAGACTTATGACTCTCTGAAGCTGCCAAGGTGTTCTCAGATCGCGGACCTCGGTTGTCCGGTTTCGCGCCGTGCATGTGCGAATATTTCAAGGTCCTGGACCACGTTCAAGAACTTCGCGTACTGACATAATTGTTGTCGAGATCGGCAAACAGTTGGTTCGTATCCATAGGAACTGGGTAGCCCATTGGCCCGGCGATTAATTGTGGTCGCCAGACATGTTGATGCGCGATTTTGACCAGCTTGCCCAGAACCGCAAATTCGAGTTTCAGTTTGATGCTGTAGATGGTCGCTTTCAGGGTTGTTTGGTACATGTAGAAATTGGCGTATTCAATGGCGATCAGAGCGATATCCATCAGGATACACGCCATGTTGACGGCGAACAGATTGAAAATGACTTTGCGGCTGTCGTTTTCCGGATTCAGCTTCAACATGCGATTCGTCTCCCAGATGTAGAGCCCCGAAATGATGATCTCCTGAACGCAGAATCCCGTCAACTGGATCTTCTCCATCACGTTGTACCCGGTTACCGTCGCTCCAGTGTTATAATAATTGGCCATGTAGGTCAACACAGTTGTCGGAACGTGTAGAAGGAAGACGTTTAGCACGATCAATCCCAGGACCAGATGGAGAATCCTAATATCCCGAAGCACCAAGTGTAGTCGCGAGTATAGCACCATGGACTGACCGGTGACCATCGCCCACCAGCCTACCGTAAGCAGGGTGATAGGCAACCACATGGCGTCAGTCGCGTTGAAGAATTTGAGCAGAAAGCCGAGGGAGTAGGGGATAATGCCCCAAGCCGAACTGAGCATACTCCAGAAGTACATGCCGCGATATTTCTTGAAGGTGAGAAAGACCAGGACCATCAATTCGCCGACATTGTACCAGGCGACGCCGACAAAAGTCGCGATCGCGATGCGCACGCCGTCACTGTTGCCGGTATAACCGCCAATGATCCAGTTGCCGGGACTGGAGGAGGGAGTATTAGACATTGCAACTGCATGCCCTGTAGACAGATGCAAGTGCCGTGAAGACAGGCTGTAAGTGATGTATGTAAGAGTTTCTCTTCTAACTTCTGTCAAACTTTGGCGCAAATACAAACCCCGCAAAAAACCCCGTGACCCGCTCTCGTGACCCACGGGCCCTTTTTTGGTCTGAGCGGATCGGATTTACTCCCAACCGAGGATTCTCCGGTTTTTTCCAGGAATGACACAATGCGACTGGAATCTTTACAACAATGTCGAGGTATGTACAGAGTACACCATCAACGTGCTATGAGTGCTATAAGTGCTATAAGTGCTATAGGTGCTATATGGCCTCTGCTAACTGCCCCTAATGATAGTCTACATGCACACCATTGCCAGTTTCTTCGATCGCATAATATCTGGCCAGTGCACAGCCTTGCCCCTCTCCTGTGCCCGATTGCCCCAAACATCCTGTACAATCGATCCGGCCAGTCGGAAGGAAGCCAACCCGCTCTGCTGAGAGCCTTGCTGGAACCACGTTTGGAAGAATTCCTGCAAATCTGGACTCAATGCCTCGCACGCCGTCACAAATGCCGGCCACACGGCGTAGACCGCGCGTTGTCCTGATTCGGTATACCACGTTTGGCTCTGTGTCAGCAAATCTCGGACCTGCCGCACGGAATGCTGAAGGGTTGTCACGTCGACATCATATACGCGTCGGTAGAAGAAGACGGACAGAGCCTTTTGCATGGCACAGAACATGAAGTGATGAGGACCGGACGGTGGCTCCCACCGACATACATGCTTGTCCAACAGCTTGGCCCGCAGTAGAAAGTCGCGCATTGTGGGTGTTTGCTCGTCGTTGGCAGGGGTGCCATTCAGGAGGCGATCTCGTTCATTCCCCAGTCGGGTAATATGAGAGACCAGCCCGACGAAAGATTCGGGAATACCAAAAATCTCCGGGTACATCGTGAGATCCCACCGTCCCGGAAACTCCAGGTGCAGGTCATTTTGCCCCAATTGTAGATCCTTGACGGTACTGAGCCCAAAGTCGGGCACCACCATCCACTTCGTGATCCGGAGTGGCGCCTCACTGGGTGGTCCCGGAGCGTCTAGGATGGACCGCAACTCGTGCTCCTCATCAGTCACAATGTCAGGTAGGAGGACTGTTTCGTTGATGATGCGCAAATAAGCGTAGCAATGGTGTAGTAGGCGGACCTTGCGCGACAGACGGCGTTTGGTCAACCCTTCGGTGCGAATGTACCTCTCTGCAATCAACAGGCACGCTAGCAGCTTATCTGGTTCACCTTGGAAAACCTGAAGTCTGGTCAAATTCTCTTGTGCGTGACGGATGGCGGGCATGGAAAACGTACCGACAATGTCGCCAGATTGACGAGTGCCATAAGCACTTCCTTGTACTTCACCCGCTTCGTCGCGGACCCTACTTCCCTCTGAAAGCCACGCAAGAGGTCTTGTTGCGCTTGCTTCTCATAGCCCTCTGCCGTTACTTGCCAGAATTCACCCCCTGATACTCGCCGGTGGAATGCGCTGGTCGCCAGGATCGCATTCAGCAGAGCAGATCGCGTCGCAGTTACAGCACCCCCCATAGACCTCTCCGCTAGTACGTTCATGGCCGTGGGAAGAATGAGATGATTCCACGGGGACTTGTGGTGGGCGCTGTTCAATGGCGATAACAGAGGAACCACTCGATCCCGATAGTACGAGAGTAATTCCCAACCATCCGACGGTAGATCCATGGGCCCAGATACGCTGGGAAAAAGCATTGGAAACTCGAACTGATCATCATCCCACAACTCATTTTCGCCCTGGCCGTCGAGAACTGGGCCAAGCGATAAGTCCAGAGCCAGGAAATTCTCATCCCAACAGGGTTCAGCATCGATCTGACCGAGGGCACTGACAGCTTCGACATTCGGACTCTTATCGCCGGATTCGTTGAAAGACACCGTTTCTGGGTTTTCAGAGGACAATTGAAATACCCCGAAAGGGCCTTTCGATAGATTGATATCATAGAAACTTGGGGAGAGGCTCTCTTCGTCTAATTGCATCAAGACTCGCGTTGGATTACTCCGGTGTATAGCTCGAGCTAGATCGACACTCATCTGTTGCCGTTGTGATTCTACCTGGCTATGGTTAGCAACCGCTCATATCTACCCACGGATAGGACTTGCCAGTGAACAGTGGCCGACGGAAGCGTGTAGCATCTTCGATCCCGAGAGGCTCTGGCTCCCCATGGTGGACAAACCGCAGACGGATCTCGTAGCCTGTACAGGGCACGTTCGAGATAACGCACATCTGACAGACTGGCCGCTGGGCATCGCATTTGATATGCCTCGTTCGACATGTGCCGCATCCTTCGAGAGACCGATCGCGCTTGGGCAGAGACATGAGAATTGATACGGAGCTGAAATGGGACGAACGTCTTCAGTGAAGGAAATGGTCAAGACATGGACTTGGCTATCTCAAATCCACAGCTCGACAGCCAATAGAATCACAGTCAGCGATAACGAAGATGCGGGGTTCTGGCAGATACGGATACTTGGATTGGATTGCGCTCGAGCTATATCTAATCTGGCATCTACTGAGTTCTACAGATGAGCCATGGCCAACTGCTTCTGGACTTCTGCTGCTCCTCGTTCACCACTTCGCACTGCTCCCTCCATGTATCCCTTCCATTCGGCTGCCGTCTCGGTGCCTACGAAATGGACATCACGGAAAGGCTCTCGAAGAGCATCCCCGGCTACGGTCAGCACTCCTGGAGGTAGCGATGGACAAGGACATCCGAAGCCCGAGTATTCTTCTTTCGACCATTCATGCTCGACCGTTGTGACATATTCTCGGCGTACCAGGTCCGAATCGCCGTATATCTCGCCCAATTGATTCAACAAGACATTCACCCGTTCGGAGTATTGTAGTTGGGACCACTGTCGCCCCGAATCCCCGCAGAGGAAGCAAGTCAACACCCATTTGTCGTCACTTGGAATGCTGGAATCTCTGACAATGGATGCTGGGCCGGTGAATGACTGAACAAGACCGCAGTAGCCTTTATTCACCCAGAAGGCGGAGCGGAAAACCACCATGGCCTTAGTGTAATATCCATAGTTGAATGCGTCAACTAAGAGCTGTTTACGGGGTGGAAGCGGTGGATTGAAGTCGATGGTTCGGAGGACGGTGGATGGCATGGCAGAGATCACTTTCGAGGCTTGCACGGTTCGATCCCGTGTCTGGATCAACACGCGACCGGGATACTGTTGGTTAATCTGCGTCACCGGGGATGACAACTGCACAGTGCCCGATGGGAGTGCTGCCGCTAGGGTTTGAGCAAAAGACTGCGTGCCCTGGCGTATACGCAGGTACTGGCCACCGTGGCGACGATCGGAACGCATCTGCAGCAGTCCGCCGCCGGATTTACAGTAGTTGAGGAAGTAAAGAGCCGACACGTCCTCGGGCTCTTGGCCCAGCATCGCACGGGTCCAGATGGCGGCCGTCGAGATCGCCTTATCACTAGCCTGGCGGCTCTCGAGGTACGCGAGAAAGGTCATTGAGTCCAGAGTAGAATCCTCCGGTCGCACACAGTCAACCTGTTGACAGTCGGCCTCGACCATATTTCGGATTACAGCCAACTGCTTCTGCGTTTCGGGATCAAACTGTATTTGTCAATATAGGCACCGACAGCGAAACCGGATGTACTAACCGGGACCTCGCCATATGCGAACGTCTGCTTACTCCCTGCAGACTCCTGCAATAAGCAATTTCCTGTTGTATTCTGCTCGATGAATTCAACCCCAGCTCTCTTAGCCAGCTGGTAGATCTGGCTTTGGTTGGTATCGTTGATCCACGCAGCCCCGATGTCCACCGTTCCTTTCCCGTCAGGCAATGTCGTGCTCCAGGTTCGGCCTCCAACACGGTCGCGAGCTTCGAGAACAAGACAAGAGTGACCAGGTCGGATCAGATGTTCCGCGGCCGTGAGACCGGCCAGCCCGGCACCGATGACCACCACATCCCACACCTTCGCATCTGGCGTGTTCAACTGCCTGGAAATTGCCGGAGGCTTGGCCACCACGGCTTCAATCTCAAACAACCATTCCGGACCTGCGAGCTGAGACACTGGAACGAGCGTTATGGCTGGCCGGTGGGATCGTAGAAAGCGTTGAATGTGGCGGGTATGTTTGCGCCGTTGGGGGTCGTAGTTGACAATGTAGACCGTAAGTCGGGCGATATCCGCGATCGAAGCACCTGCTGCGACCAAGACTTTGTGCAGGTTCAACAGAGCTAGATGGATTTGGGATTCATAGTCGGAAGGAACCTCTCCATTGACCAACGATCCAGGTTGGCCCGAAACATGAAGCCAGCTGCTCGGCGGCTGAGATGTCACAGTAGCTGGAGCATAGTAGGCAGCGCGAGTGCCGGGAAGATCAATTGGATGGATTCCACCGGTCATGATGTTTGCAAAGTGAATTCAGAAAGACAATTGAAGCTATCAATCATTTCCCCGATAGCTGGTTGTCCTTTTATCAGGTCCCGTATCAAGCATGCTATTTCTAGACAAGCAAGTTACTGTACAGTATGCATCGGGGTGACTTTCCGCTTTGATATCCAGAGCCAACATTGCACAGATAACGCAAATCGGCGGGGTACCTTATGTTCCTGTATGTTGAGTCGAGACCGGACTATGTCCACATTGCCGGCCTTTTGCTCGATAGGAGCCAATTCGGAAAGTATCAAACGCTCTACAAGACCTGGTTTGTAAATATATACATCGCGAGCATACAATCTCGACGTTACAAGGCAATGGAATTGTTCATACGGCAGATTCAAGCACAGCGATGGCCATGTCAACAATATTATCACACGTGACTGGGATGACTTTCCCAAGCAATTGATCATTCAACAATAGAAGGGAAGAGGGAGATAGAGAACTCTCAACGATAAAACGCGGCTTTTGTTGAAGTTTCAAGTGTCGTCAAATATCGCTACGGGATTTTGTGACTCGTGCTTTTATACATCTCCGACTCCGACAAGCAGTCCTTCAAAATTCAACATGGTCAATATACTGATAGTTGGATGCGGCGGCATTGGGACCATTGCTGCTCTAAACTTGCAATCAGGAGGCAAAGCCCGAGTAACGACCGTCTTGCGCTCCAACTACGACCATGTGAAGCAACATGGATTTCATATTCGATCTCTCGACCATGGAGTTGTTGAATCATTCCGTCCGGATACTAGTATGCCCTTACCTTCTTCTATGTTTTCTCCAAGATGCTAATAGACAGTCCGCAATGCCGTGCCAAACGTGTCCGAGGAGAATATCGAGCCTTATCGATATATCGTTTGCACAACCAAGAATATAGCCGACGTTCCACCCAGCTTGTCCGATCTTATCCGCCCAGCGGTGACCCCGGGGTACTCGGTCATAGTGCTGATACAAAACGGACTGAACATCGAGAAGCCCATTCTGGACGCATTCCCACAGAACATTGTCCTGTCCAGTGTGAGCTTTTGCGGATCCCACGAAGTCGGAACAGGACAAATTGTCCACGAAGATCACGATCGAGCGTTCATTGGAGCTTTCGATAACCCAAATCTAGACGCACAGGTCCAGCAAGAAGCGGCGACGGATTTCGTGGAGATATACAAGGCTGGAGGAAAGTGCAGTCCTGAATATCAGCCTAACGTCGGATGGACGCGCTGGCGGAAGTTGGTATACAATGCCTGCTTGAATTCAATCTGCGCCGTTACCGATCTCGACACAGGTCGTATGCAGCTGGCGGATGGGGCGATTGACAATCTTGTCCGACCGGCGATGCAAGAGATCCGGGCAGCTGCCGAGGCTTACGGTCACGATTTGCCGGAGGAGTTGGTTGAGGCAATGATCCGGATGGACCCAATCACGATGTACAACCCGCCAAGTATGCAGGTCGATCTCCGCAAGGGCCGGTATTGCGAGTTTGAGACGATTGTAGGAGAGCCGCTGCGGGCTGGACTGGCGCGAGGGGTTCCTATGCCACTTCTCACGGCTTTGTATCATATCCTGCGTGCTGTGCAATGGAAGACAAAGGAGCGAAATGGGTTTGTTACGATCCCTGAGCCAGAGGACCACAGCGTCAAGCGGTAGACTTCATAGTATGTTTTACATATATAGCCTTGAATAACGCAAAGAGAATGAAGTGTCGTTCGTATCAATTTTACATTTATGTTCAACGTTCAAGTCGAAGATTGATACCACTGAGAAAATAACCCGGGAGACAAATCAAGGAAAATGGCATTGTTAAGCTAAATTACTCCAAAAATCTACCCCCGGTCATCTCTAGCTCGAGATCATACGCGGGCTGGAATTCGCAATAATGTGCCTCCTAAGACTCGTAATGAGTGACCATAAATGGAACAAAGAAATTGGAAAACATACCGGCTCACTAGTCATCTGAAAGGTATACTCAGACACTTTATCATCGATGATTTGCTTCGGAATACCAGCTGCAGCGGCTGCATCCACCTTAAGCTGAATCTCACAGCTCCTCTCAGCCAAGGTAAAGAGATATGCGGCTTCGTCTACAGTTTGACCCACGGTTAAGAGCCCGTGATTTCGCAGGATAAGGAGCTTGCCTTTGGGTCCAAGTGCCTTGGCCAGGCGCTCCCCTTCCTCCGGATCGAACACGACGCCGCCAAACTCGGGATAAACTGCCTGCGCCTCGCCGTGAAACATGGTCACATCTTGGTTGATCATGTCCAAAGGGCGGACAAAGGTCGACCATGCTTTGCCGTTGACTGAATGCGTGTGACACGCCGCATTGACATGGGGATATTTCCGGTGCAAATGGCCGTGGATCTGGAATCCGGCTGCGTTGGCCGGTCGTTTCAGGTTTCCACCAACGGGTTCGCCGTTGTGATTGAGCAGAATGAGATCTGACACCTTGACCAGGCTAAAGTGGACTCCTAGTCTATATTCAAATTAGCTCCGTTCATCCTTATAAGGAGGAAAGTAATTTACGGATTAGTCCAGAAGCAGTCTGAATGCTCTGGATCACGCAGAGAGATATGACCGGCCATTCCCTCGCCATATCCGTTACGCCCAAAAACCCGAAATGCCCCGGCCATGTGCTCCAGCATCCATCGTCGCTTTTTGTCGATAGATGTGAAGGAGGGGATCCCGGGTAGAGGAACCCCTTGTGAGATGGCTTGAATAGCATGGGAAGCTTCCGACTTCTCGTTTTTATCATGAGATGAATCTGTCGATGGCGCAATAGTAGTCGTAGCGGACATGATGGGCGGCAATGTTTGGCGATACGGCATGAAGTCGAAATGATGTTACATCTTTATAATCCTTATCTGATAGCAAGCATGTGACTGGACATGTGACTGGGATGAGCTGCCGCATTCGTATGATATCAACAGCTGCGATAAACCCCGATTTGAGCCAATCAGGATCCAGAAAAGCGAAGTATACAAACTGAGTCGACAATGTCCTATAGCAGCCGTTATAACCCAGCACGATGCTACTCTCAGTAACAGGCAGAGTGCCTCCATCCTACTTTCAATTCAACTGCTGAATTATTCCACAATGAACGACCCCGAAGCCGGTGTTAAAAAACACCATGACGAGAAGGATTCTCCTCCCGTTATTACTCCTGCCGATGGCCAAGTCGTCGACGCTTCTCTCCGAACTCAGCGAGGGATCAAAACTCGCCATGCTCTAATGATTGCTATCGGGGGCACGATTGGCACGGGACTTTTTGTCGGTACTGGCGAGGCATTGGCAATTGCTGGTCCGGCTCCGCTACTGGGCGTGTACGTTGTCATCTGCATTCTCGTATACGGCATTATCACGGCCACCAGCGAAATGTCCACGTACATACCCGTACCCGGATGCTCAATGGCCTACTATGCCAATCGATTCGTGTCTCGCAGCCTAGGGTTCGCCCTGGGGTGGCTGTACTTCTACTCATTTGCCATCCTTGTCGCATACGAGATCACGGCGGCTGGTCTAGTTATTGACTACTGGCCCAACGATATCAACATTGCAGTCTGGATTTCGATAATGCTGGTGGTGGTCATTGTGCTTAATCTGTGCCCTGTTCGGGTATACGGGGAGACTGAGTTCTGGTTCGCCTCTCTCAAGGTTTTCATGATCCTTGGTCTGCTAGTCCTGTCCGTGGTACTCTTCTTTGGTGGTGGCCCAACCCATAAGCGCTTGGGTTTCCATTATTGGAAGTATCCCGGTCCTGCCAAAGAGTATCTCGTGCCAGGAGCAGCGGGCCGGTTGTGTGGTGTTGTATATGTTGCCTGCTTCTCGGTCTTCTCATTCAACTTCGCCCCGGAATTACTGGTGATCACGGCCGGCGAGATGCATAATCCCCGACAAAACCTTCCCAAAGCCACAAAGCACTATTTCTACCGGTTGCTTGTCTTTTATATTCTTGGCGTGCTTGCCATTGGTGTCATTTGCGACAGCAACGCCCCCGGTCTGCTCAGTGGAGAGGCTGGAGCAGGCGCATCGCCCTGGGTCATCGCCATTAAAGAAGCCGGTATTAAAGGACTCGACAGTGTGATCAATGCCGTTATCATTACATCGGCCTGGTCATCGGCAAACTCGTTTCTGTACATGTCGAGCCGGTCTCTTTATTCGCTTGCAGTGGCCGGTAACGCCCCACAGATCTTCACTCGCTGCAGTCGATTGGGTACTCCGTACTGGGCTGTCTTCGCTAGCTGCGTGCTGGGCTTATTGGCGTACCTGAACTGCGGGAATGACGCCAGTCAAGTGTTTAACTGGCTGATCAACCTGACAAACACGGCTGGATTCACCTCGTGGGTATGCTGCGGCATCACCTACACGCGGTTCCGCATGACATGTCAAGCACAGGCCGTTACCTCGCTGCCATATCGATCGCGCTTTCAGCCGTACCTCGTCTGGGTGGCCATGTGCGTGTTTGCTCTTTTGTTGCTTTGCAATGGGTTCTCCGTCTTCGTTGCGGGAAATTGGTCCTTGTCGACTTTCTTGACATCCTATATCGGTATACCTGTGTTTCTGGGGATCTATTTCGCGCATCGGATATATGCTCGTGGTGACTCGTGGGCCCGACATCCGTGTAACATAGACTTGCATACTGGCCTAGCTGAAGTCGAGGCCGACTGCCCGGAAGAAGAACCAGCTCGTACGTGGCGGCCGGACGATTCAGGCAATTTGGGATTAATCGTATAGACAGGTACTCGTTATAATGGAATGAATTGTGCTTCTGCTTTATATGCTATGTCAACTTAGAAGAATCCGAATATTACTGATTCACGATATTCCGTCATTACTGTAACTCTGACTCTAGAAAAACATGCCCCAGATGATTAATTAGAACTCATGGAATCTACAGTTTCGCCAAACGACCGTCCATCTGCAGCAAAGAAAGATGACTAGGATTGATATCCTGAATGGTCCGGCATCTGCTCTTGTTAGCACGTTCTCATCATTTCGGAAGTTTAACATACCCCATGAACTTCATCGTATGGCGGAATTCTTCGAGCAAAATCTTCAATGCGATATCGACGCCAGCCTCTCCGTTGTACTGCAAGGTGTCAGCCATGGCCACCGTAAAGGAGAAAAAGACGTACTGCTAAGCCCCAGATTGGAATACGTCCCACGAAGCACATCGAGGCGCCAAGGGCCAACGCTTTGAAGATATCCGCTCCTGACCGAATACCACCGTCGATGGCAAGGGGAATCCTTCCTCTAGCTACGGGGCCACACTCGCGAAGTGCATCGAGCGTGGCGGGCTGGCCGTCAAGCTGGCGGCCCCCGTGGTTGGAAATGACCACCCCGTCCACTTCGTGCTCAATGGCGAGTTGTACATCTTCGGCAGTGGACACTGTTTTTATCAGTACAGGATCAACCATGCGGGAGGTAACGAGGATACGAACCACCCTTCAGCCAGATTTCCATTTTAGTCGTCTTTCGTAGCCAGGGGATTATCTTGTCCCATCGAATGCTCGCATCTGTAAAATGCATTTCAATTCGAGAACTTCTTTAAAGTGTGCATGATAACGTACCATAGCCAGCAGCGTATGTGGCCATCAAATCGTCAGTAGCTCCTTGAAGACTAGGAAACCCGATATGACTGGGAAACGCCCATTTATTTCGTTGTTCATTGCGTCGACTTCCGATTACAGGCAGGTCGACACTAACAAACAGCGCCTTGTATCCGGCCGCTGATACAGTCAGCTCCCTCTCAAAATCGGTCGAATAACCTCCAGCACGTACCCTCAGCTCGCTTGATTATGCACCGCGTGACTTCAATATCTTTGAAGAACGATACCTGCATTGCATACGGATTTCCCGAGCTTTGCGCGATCACTTCCTCCGGGCTCGTGGTCGACCATGTAGACAGACACATTGCGATGCCGTTGTGAGAAGCAGCGCGCGATGTGCCGCGTTCTGCGTCGGAATGGGCGAGGCGATGGGCAGCCGCTGGGGCAAATCCAAGAGGAAAGGAAACCTGAAAACACATTATTAGACGCTTCAAGAGTAATCGAGCTCGGCTTTGGAACCTTCGTTCTAAAGATCTCTGTAGTGGTGTCCACTTCCTCGACATCACGTAGCACTCGCGGTCGCAGTTTGTATCGAGCAAAGGCATTCTCATTGTCGCGCAGGCTATAGCCAATGAGCGATTGAAATGATTTCCTTCAGAACGAACGGCATACCTGACCATCTCACCGGCTCCTTCATTGAAATAGTCTGTGGCGGTTAGAAATCAGTAATGCTTAATATCGGGTATATACATACATCGGTACAACTGGGGAAGCTTTTTCTTGGCTTCATCTTGAATGTCTTTGACAGTGAGAGGCAAGTCGGTGGGTGTCGAGTCAGCCATGGTGTTGAATATGTACAAACGTGCCTGGAAAGGTACGTATGGCGGCCGTTCATTAAGTATAATTAATCTCACACGGTAATGTCCACAAGCAAGAACTCAGATGGCCCATGATCAGACTTGTATGCCACGATCTGGCCCCTCTTCGAATCCTTATCAGGGCTGGCTTTCCATCGGCGTTAAGAAACCCAAGCAAGTCACCCCGGTCACATGACTCTTGCGACACTGGATTAGTTCAGACATGATAAAAGGTTGCATTGCATTATCGAAATGAGGCACGATAAGGTCGTTCTCTTGGTGGGAGATAATGGAGAACTTGTAATTTCTCCGTGCTACGCCGGGAGAAATTGACGAACAATCCGTACCGGGTCGAACCAATCTGCTGAGAATAAACGGAAGAAAATGAAATGAAAAGAAGTGAGCGAGGACTGAGTATATTTGGTAAAAGTTAATAATGTGGAATTATTTAGTACGACACTTGTCATTAGGTGCCCAACAACAATATATATCGAGACTACTGAGAATGATCGTGGTATGCAACAAGTTCACTATGCAACAATTTCATTTGATCATTAAAAAAAAAAATAAATACTTACGCATTAACAACATTAGCCGGAGCTGTCTCATGTTGCTCTACTTCCAGCTCCTTCTCCATCTTCACTACCTGTTGCGGTTGAAAACCAACATCTGGGATGACGCCGGCGCGGTCCAGGTAGTTACGAGCGCGCACATACGGATCCAATTTCCAGTAGTTGGCACTCAGCTGCTCTGCCAGCTCATCCCGTCGTGCCTTGATAGTCTTGATCTGCCCATTGTCCTTGGTCGCCGCGGCCGTGATCCATGACGACGTCGTCGTTAAGAGCTCCTTGACAATATCTCGTCGCTCCTCCTCGAGAGCCTCCCGTGTGGTAGTGTCATTCATCCTCTTGTTCTCGTTCTGCTCCGGCTCAATGTACTTGTATTCCCAATTTTCCGGGCCACCGAGCTCCTTGAAGATTCTCTCTCGTGGGATGTAATTTTCCAGATCGTTGACGGACTTGGTGAACTGGATCTTGGAAACGATGACGGGGTCCATCCATCCCTTGATGAGTCTCCAGATACCTGCACCAATGGTTAGACCCTGCTATTCTATATTCACGACAGGAAAAAGACAAACCGGAGAAAATCCATGGCGCATTGTGAATCAGCAGAACCCCGAGGCATTCGGGATAGTTGGCTTCGAAACAGCGGATAATGAACTTGACAGGCGGGTACTCCTGTGCAAATAGTTAACCTTGCTCACATCATCTCGGAAGAGGCTTGACCTACCATGTTTGAGAGGGAAAAGCCTGTCATGTCGAAAACAACCGTCTACAAGGACAAGTCAGCCGGAAGATCTTGGAAAAGAGATGCCTGTACGCACAGCAGTTTCCACTGGTTGCCGCAACAGAAGTCGGACCGATTCGATAACATTGACAATGTACCGATTCAGTACTTCTTCAGTCTGCTCTCCCGGCTTGTGCAAGCGCACTCGGATTACCACAATGGGCCGACCGATCTTGTCCACGCCGTGAAGAAAGCATTTGCCCATGCGGCTCTGCGCCAGGAAACTGCTACCCTCCTTTTGTTCACTTGGGTTCGCGGTGTTCTGTTCCTGCTTCAACGCATGGAGCTCACCATTCTCCAGCACATTATCCACCTGCATTTCCTTCACCCGCCATTCGACCGCAGCCACCATCATTGCGAAAGCGTTGCACACATCCCATTTGCGGGCCCGGAGGTATCGGAGCATCAGGACGTCCGGATTCTCATTCTTGAAGCTGGTCAAGAATCCCTGGTGGAGTTCGTCGGTATCCATGTTGGCCAAGGCTTGCCGGATGACCCTGATTTGCGTGGCGTCCAACCCCGTCTCTTGGAGGCTCTGGGCTAATTGTGATGAGTCTGCGCGAGTCGAAGCGGTGCTGGCGCGGCCGGAAACATTGCTATCGGTCCTGGAGACGGACTGCTTGCGTTGCGGTGACCCTTCCACGCCGGAGGCCTCCAAGGCCTTCAGGAGTATCGTCCAGAGCTGCTGCAATTTGGCGTCCTGCTGCGTGGAGAGGTTTCCGATGAATCCCGACGGTGTGTTAGTCGATGCCATTGTGCGTTGATCGTGTGTAGTTTAAGAGAATAAAATATGCAAAGTCTCAATCGACCAACCCCACGTCCTGACAGGCGGCGTCGTCGACTTTAAAAATGTATGCTCGCGACTGATATGCGTCTCGCGGTGACGAAAGCAAGTATGGCTTCCCCGCCTGCTCCTGTAGATCCATATCAAGACTCCCCGTAGTGATGGACCAACATCCTCGGTTTCATATTTGGGGAAAGAGACCAGCGATTGGCGGACCGAATTGTGGGAGGTGCGAGGGGCGTCTAGGGGGGTGCGTTCAAAACTCGGGCATTCCACTCCTTCCCCAGATCTCCAAAGTTAAACCCGATGTTCCTCGGCGAAAGGATCCTGTCGCGCTGGTGACTGAATCCGGCAATTCTGCATAGGACTTTCCTATTTCTTTCCATGACGAAGGTTGTGACGATAGAATGCCCATATTATATGATGAAACAGTGCTTATCATATGCTTCGAGCAGACGCGAACCTGGTGACGAGAATGTCTGAATTCTCGGTTATTCCCAAAACTGGGTCCACCGAAGGTTAGCCACCATCGCGCCAAATTCAGGGCCAATCATACCCAAGCGAATAGGGAAATTCTTGCGAGTGTCTCAGATGTCACAAACAAAGGATTTTCTATTTTTGTGTCGAGAATTGGACCAATTCTAGGGAGGGAAATTGGAAATTGGCACGCGCACCACACGCGACCAGGCCTTGTCTCCTATGATAGATACACTCTGGGCTCAATCCCCGAGCGAAAGCGAAGACCCAGAGAAGGCCGATATCCAGAACCAATCATTCGTAACAGTCGTCGAATCCATCGCCCAAATGGCCCGTGGTTTCGACGTCCAACTAGCGCCAATTGAACGTTGGACAAGTCCCTGTTAGCAGCAGTCTGCGAGGGACAGTTTTGCTGGATGAAAGTAGTACTGTCGCAAAGAAACATCCTCTCCATTTTCCTGGTCAATCAGATACCAACACCGGCAAGCCGGTTTTAACCTCAATGGCACGGGCTGAAGTGAACACACATTTTGCGTTGAGCAAGCAGATATCTTTCTTAAGCAGCGGTCCCAGAGACCTCAAGAGCAGAGCCGCCGTCTCGCCTCCGCACCCTACCATCGATTAAACCAGTGTTTTCCAAATCATCGTACTACGACTCGTTTCAAATGCCCTACGTCTTTAAGGTACTTGTGTACTGTATTTCAAGGGGCCGAGCACAACACGCCGGTCGTTTGTAGACATAGTATGCAACTGGGACAGATGATCTTATACTTTGAGCATTACCTGTACGATGAAGATTTGGTCGCTGAAGAAACATTCACTGGACAAGGCTGAAATCTAGCCTTTGTCTTGCTCCGCGCCGGCTCTGTCAACGTCCAGCAGCATCTCATCTGGTCAGATTATGTCCTCTTTCAAAATGGCCTACGAGATAATTCCAGACAATTTAATGACACAAGTTGATGGACCTCCTGCAATTCGTGTTGCTCGCAATCCTGACCCCGCTGTTTTGGAAGCACTCCTAACTACCGTGAGAAAACCAGTAACCTCCAGGGCATACCACCGCCTCCTATCAGAAATCAATCACCTAACGCAGATGTCTCATTGGCTTCTGAACCCGCTCCATACGCAATTTGCAGCGCCAGGGGATTTGGGATCGGAGCAGCCGCAGCCTGTTCCGGAAGCGGAACAGCGGACTCAGAGAGCAACAATTAGTCTCTTAGTACACCGCGGATGTCACGGGCTCGGTAGCTAGTAGATAAAAAGAATAATATTCATATCTAGACTAGGTGGCCTAACGACGAGAATATCGAATCTGGAGAGGAAAGAAGAAGAGGAATCTATCTACGGGAAAACAGGGGTTTTATCTATGGGTTCTGTGACTGCGCTAAGTGCTTTCTTTGTTTGCTTGGATGGCAGCGTTTGTCGACATCAGCCACTGAGGCGTTGAGCTGTCACAGAGGAGGCCATGATGTACGGTTCAAAGATATCGACGGCAGCACAGCACTACACTATCTTGCTGGTACTTTGAACATCAATGAAGCGGTTCTCGAGATGGTGCGGGCTGGCGAGGAAGTATGGGAAAGCGCGCAGAACTGGGGTATGGCCTATGTTACATAATGAGATATATGGACATACGTGTCATTGTTCCTATTTAGTTGCCTGCCGACATCTCATCAACCACAACAATTCAATTAAAACTCAAACCACTCATCATGGCGTTCGATACACCGAAGTCTCTCACCTCCATTCTAATATGCGCCCCATGGTACTACGATAGCAGAGCACGCCTTATCTCCTTCAAAATCGATGGCACTGGTGAGGTCAGTTAATACCGGATTTCCTTATTATCTGAACGCATCTAACCCACCCCATTAGCTATGGTGCGGTGGCGAACTCACTCTATACATCGTCTATGAATTTGAGTGGAAAATCTCAACACCGGAATATCTGCACCAGCCTATTGACCCCAACGGCAACCTCAGTAAAGACGGAAACGTCCACCATCTAGCCCAGTTTACTTTGGTAATGACAAGACGGCGGGGTCCGTTGCACGAGCGTACCAACCAGCCCGTTAGGATTGATGACAGGCTTGCGGATAGTGTCTTCGAGGAGAAACAGACTTATACAGTGTGTTTGGACAAGGGGAAACTTTCTGCTCCGATTATAGCTAATCGACTGCACGAATTTCCGGGCACGGAGATGCTTGGGCTCCAATTGGTATTCGATAGGTCCCCGTATCCAGGTGCTGAAGACTGGAGGCCGGGGGCTTTGCAGGTGCGGGATGTCAATGACATGGTGGGGGCACGGCAGTTTGTGAGCCATCATATTAGGAGCTTTAATGGTTCTTTGGTGGATAGATGCATAGTGGTGTAAGACTATTGTGAGAGTTACTTAGAGTGGCACAGTGAATCCGCAAATCCGCCTTTGAACTAGAGTGTCACCGGACGACCCGGAGACCCGCCCCAAACCCGCCCCAAAGCCCAACGGGCTGGGCCTTGGGTCAAGGGTCCTTGGCCCGCTACAGGTCCGGGTCCAAAGGGCCGAAGCCTTGCTATCTAATATATAGATATGTACAAAAGAACTCGTTGAAGGGAGAAAGAATCGTTAGTATGGCGGCGATGATTTGTGCGTATTCTCGTGATCAGGTGACCTAGGGTCACCTGACTTGGCGGATTTCTCTGAATAGTTTCAATCGAGAATCATTTATGATTCGAGGTGCTTTTCGGGCCTAGCCCGTCACAATTGGTCGATAGGGATATCCCAAAGGGGAAGCAGCCAGGTGGGGTGGTCCATATTCCCAGCGGGTGACATGGCTTGGGTGTCACAACCTGGTGTTACAGACCTAGCCACATCAGTCTCACGTGACTATGCGGGGAGTCAAGGCAGAATCATTGGGCGACAAGCCATGAGGGAATGCAGGAAGGAACAAGGAAAGTCACTCAGGAACTAGGACGACAGAGATACGACACGTGACTTGACTACCATATACCATGGCTTGGCATTGGTAGATGGTATACGGCTACCATCACGACTACCATCGGGAAGGTAGTTCAAATGGTATACAAAGTGAAGGATATATAAGGACACTCATTCCTGTACTTAGTTTAGTTCTTTGCAATTGTCTTCATCAATAAAGCATTGGTTACCTTTCTAGTTCAGACTCATCAGCACTAAAACCAACAGCTAAGTATACATACTTAGTTGGCCTTGTTTCTCTACTTTGTCACCTTATTTGGATTACTTGTTCACGGAGCCTGGCTGGGGCGATATACCAAGCAGCGCATTCTTTACAGAGCCTTACTGGGGCGAGATACCACGCGGCGCATTACGACTTAGACCTGAAGGGTCATTATCGATATAACGACGACGACGAAGGACACTCAGGTGAGTGCCCCAACTGAGACTTAACTAACTAGAACCTTAGGTTATGATATGAAGAGAAGCTAGGTTGTGACACAACAATCACCAGTCAGCATGAGTCTAGTCTCAGTTGACTTATTCACAACCATGTCAAACAACAGCGCTATGCCTAGGTCCTCTCATGGATCTGAGGAATGTATGCCCACATACAAACAACTGTTTGGAATGGTGAGCCAGCTACAGGAAAGCATCACCACCTTGGAAGAAAGACAATTGGCACAAACAATCAAAGTCCAACCACTGGAACCTTTCGACGGCACTCAATACAAGTTGTGACCTTTCATTACCCAGTTAGACTTGTATGTCTGCATTAATCACAGCAAGCTCACATTCAAATCTGACAAAGTCTTGCTCACAGTGACATATTTAACCAGTCCAGCATTTGATTGGTTTGAACCCATTTTACATGATTTCCAAGAAAAAGATGAAGAACATCACAATGACAATACCACTGAAATCTTCACCAATTATGCTGAATTCAAGAAACAACTTCAAGGAACATTCAGAGATATTGATGCCACATGAAATGCTGAATGAAAACTATGGTGACTAAAACAAACTGGATCAGTAACCAAACTGGTATCTGAATTTCAACAAATCATCACACATCTGAATTGGGATGAAGAGATGTACATCGCCAAATTCAAAGAAATGTTGAAACCAGAGATTCAGGAGAAGTTGGTTTGGATGGAACAACCAAGCTCCCTGAATGAGTTGTTTGAATGAGCAGTCAAAATTGACAACACCCTGTATGACCTAAGAGTCAGACAGAAGGAGTCATGATATGGAAACACCTTTAGAGGAAATCCACAAATGAACTGCTACCAATTGAACAATAGATGACCAGCTCAACCACAAAGCCAAGGGTATGAAGATCCCTATGGGCCATGACCAATGGAGCTGGATGCCACGCAGCAAAAACCTTTTGTGTCCTATCAGGAAAGGGAATGAAGGAAGAAAGAGAGGCTTTGCTTTACATGTGGAAGACTGGGTCACATGACAAAAGACTGCCTGCAATCATGAAATATTAGGCCTCAACAGCAGCAACAGAATGCCAGGCCACAGCAATAATGAAATGGACATAAGCAACTGCATGCTACCCAGGAGAGAGGAGCATACAACATCACAGGAATAACAAAACCAGAACTCAAAGCAACAAATGAATTGAAATGGCACATGTAAGAGGCTATGGATGAGCATGATGAAAGGCCACTGACACCTAGTGAAAGGATTGAAATGATACCCAACCTGAGCCCATTGAGGAGGTTGATGACTGAACAGATGACTCTCAGTGAGGAAGAGATTGAAGATATTATGAGTTCTAGTGAAGGTGACTATTGGCCAAATGAGCAGACAATGGGGTCTGACAGCAGAAGCAACAAAGCCCATGAAAGGATGGATGGGTCCAAAAAAGCCATCAACACAAATGAGCCAGTCCATGTGGAATTACTCAGTGAACTGTCTGACAAAGATTGGTCAGTTAACAATTCCCTTGACAAAGAGTATGGATCTCAGTTGATTAGCGGTGCCCCAAACACTGAGGAATTCAATGAGATACTGGAGACATCTCTGACAAAGACTCCCATAAATGATGAATGAATTACACAACCTCTGGCAGAGATATATGAGGGATGCACTGAATCCAGCAGGCATGGCCCTACCATGAGCATGGTTAACAATGAAGAATTGATTCAACAACAATGACTTGAAGAAGAAAAGAATGATGAATACCTTGCAGCATACCATATCAATGAAGTTGTGCTTGATATCAGGGATAACCTGAAGAGGTTTACCACTGAATTGAGACAATTATTTCAGGAGTTAGGCAATTACTGCCCACATCAAAACTTGGAATGCTGGGAACAAGAAGACCAAACATGGGATGAACACCTATAGAAATGCAACAAACATCCATACACCTGCAGATATTGTGAACAACACAACAGCAAACTATGGGGATATTTGTAAAAAGTTACAACCAAGAGACCATGAGGTCCTATCCGACGGGGGGCATTCGACTGACGGAGAGTCGAATCGAGTCTTGGCACTTTACTATGGGAGAAAATTG